GACAGAGGTATTTGCTATAAACCTATAATCTAATACAGACTAATCCTAACCTTAAACAATGCCAAATACAAGAAATGATCATTCCGTCCCAAAATGTTAATAGAGGCCGTTAGATTCTAAAACGAGAACAAGGTTTTCCTAACGCTACGTCGTGCGCCGCGTGAACCAGTGTGATTTTGGTGAGAAAAGGCGATAGCGGTCGTTATTGTACTACGAGTTTTTGTGAAAATGTGGTAGTGACTGTAGCAAATGTTAGAAGTTTCATCATTTTGCAATCGGGTGAGAGCTTTACCTCCTTCTACATAACCTTTCTGGTGAAAAAAGAAAATTATAAAGTCTTCTGGTGTGTCTATTTCTTGCGCCCTCGTTATCGTCCGTGTCCTCAAATCTAAAGGTCTCTAATGTTTACTTTTAAGAAAGTGGAAGCCATCCCTGCGCTTGTGTTTTCATATTCATTTCTGACTGGAAAATACAAAATCAAATTGAAACTTGTGGGCTGAAGTGTTATTGAACGCAAAGTCCAAACATACTGCTGTGAATATGCGTGGTTATATTACCTGGCACTGGCAATTATTACTAAGTCAAATCGTCAAACATTTGTTTGTTTTGTATTTGTCCTAATGTTCAGTCGCCGTGAGAGTTTTTTGCTTAGTATGTAAATTTCCCTTAGGACACTGACCTGTTGGCCGTCCTTGGTGATTTGCTGGACACAGATGATGTTGGAAGATTGACAGCTAAACAAACCCTACAACAAGCGTACTTCTGCAAGTGCCTTTGATTAACGGTTATGCCCCGTTAATTTCTGAACTGGCCTATAATTATACGGGCAGAGTACAAAGAGACTGCCTGTTTTTTTAATCTTGTCATATTTAGGAGTTGTTCCATTTGGCCGGCATTGAGGCACTGATATTATTGTGCCCTTAAGAGAAAAAATGGCCCAGTTGTGTTGCCCTGGTCTTTATGGTATTTCAATACAAATAATGTTACACGGTGCTTGCTATCTGGTTAGCAGATTCTTGAAAACAGAATTAAGCTTTGAAGCCTGTAGCCTTCTTCTCAAAACCCAGTTACTTTTTGGTGCAACACGTTTTATTTAAAAGTAGAACTCTTAAGAAAAAGAATGCTGTCTCCAGGCCACAAATCTGTTCAATTTGTTTCTTTACCTTTATTCATACTTACATTTCTGAGGCAAACATTGCAAACAGAAAATAGTTTTCTGGGCCCTAAATGCTAATAGTTCACATTATTTCGAAGGATAACTGTTAGCATAGCCTGTTGGGATTTTGGTTGCTTTTGTTTTCAATTTTTCATTCTTGTAAGTGTGGTTATTTACAATATCAAATGTAATGATTGTAATGTAGAGCACATTGATGAAACAGCAGGGAAACTGGACACTAGGCTAATTGAACACCAGAAATCAGTGCAAGCCTGCAATCTCAAGTCTACTGTGTCCAAACACACTAAGGATTCAGGCCACTCCATCGACTGGGGGAGTGTAAAAATTTTTGGCCTGGGAAAAACACCCGCTTTTACACGAGATCTGCGAGGCCATAAACATTCATACTCGGTGACCGGCAATGAACCGTGATCAGGGCTCCCGCCATCCCTCAATTTGTGGAACAATTTTGTAGCCTCATCAAAACGTGGCTGTAAATAACTGCAAACGTCACTGATGAATGGATCCGGATGGATTTCCGAAAACTTCGTGTATTAAACTTTTAAGAAATAGCCGAATCTTCATTCTTTTAATGAATAGGTATGGTTTTGGCTGGGTATCCCTATGCAAGTCTTATTAAGATTTTACCATTACTACTCTTTTTCAAACTAATTTCTGACCCACAGGGAAACAGAGCATTTGTTCAAATGCCTCTTTTGACGAGGGGTGAAGAATGGCTTAAGTCTGATGAATGTTCATCTGAGGCGAGTATCCACGTATTCTTTCATTAAATGTTGTTGATCTTTTGACGATTATCTGAAATTTAAAAAATCTGTACCTCGGACATATTTCTCCGTACTAAACTTCTTTTCTTTTTACCTTCTGTAAATTGATCCAGTCGTTGTATTAACCATCGGATGTTTTTTTTAAAGGATGTTGCTGTAGTTTTGAGAGACGTCTTAGAAGGTTTGAATGCACTCCATACAAATGACATTTGCCATGGCTGTGTTCACCTTCAAAGTGTGTTGGTCGAGAAAGTGGATGGACAGTTTAGAGGACGACTCGATTTTTATCCTTTTATCAACACGGTGAGTTTTTGTCACCAGTTACTTTTATTCTTTTTATTTAACGCCTTATTCACACTAATTCGTTTCTAACTATATGGAATTGTTGCAGGAATTCATTGCAGGCAATAGCAATATCAACTAAGTTGATAACTTGTGTGATTAGTTTTCGAAATCAGTGACAGGCAACGATTTGTTCTTTTTTCAGCAATGCAATAAAGCTCGGGAAATGAAGTTTTTTGGTGATTTGATGGTGAAGGTACGTAACCGTTATTGACAGTATTGCAGTTTCACCAACATGTTACTTGAAAAGTGAATTCGCGTACTTTCAAAATAATCTAAAACAATACACCAGGAAGTTTCAGGTCGTAGTCTCCCTGAGAATTTAAACCGGAATGTACCAAAAGGTTTGATGCATGTACAGCTGGTTTTGTCAGGGAGCTAAAGCAACCACTACGACGACAGAACCAATTGCTTTTGAATTTCATAGCAAAGCAGGAGCTCTGCTCGCTGCATTACACTTTTTGGTTCATTTCTTTGATGTCCATGGTGCAACTACTATGAGAAACTTCCAATGTCATGTTTTGTGAGGACGTGAGCAAACGACTAGTGGGGCAAATTTATTGTTATTTTTTTTACTTTGGATACAGTAATTAAAAATTCAACTCCAGGAAAATTCACCCATATTTGACAAATTAAGCCGAGGCAAAACAGACGTGATTAAATTTATTTGAAAAAGGAGACATTCCTTTTTTGTGATGTTTTCTCTGCTGTTGTCCTTCAGGGGTCTATTTAATAAACCTTTTACAAGTGTAGTTTACCAGTTTAGCCATTGTTTTAGACTCTGAAAACAATAGCTACACTTGTAAATTACACTTAAAGAAGTTTAATCAAATTGACCCCTGGTTGCTTATCCCTTTAACTTGATCTTCATGTAACTTCTCCTTGTAATATCAATACATTGTCCAGCGAACAAGGAGTGATCAGAATAGGCCAATTTATCAACTTGAGGATCTTATCTTGATATAACTTCAAAATTCTCTTAAATAATGTACAAAAGAATAAGCAGCAGACAGAAAAGAAGAAATACTAGTCAGATCTTTGGAACTAACTTCCTGTTTCCCATCGCTGTTTTCGCCATACTTGCCTAAGCACTCCATTGTCGCTATTTAATCAGTGAGATGTTACTGAACTGGAACGTTGCTCTTGCCAAATTGTAAGCCATTTATTAATGTTACTACTTTTGTAAATATTGCTGTTGTCTTGCAGATGAACTTTCCAAACAAGGATCACACGACCACTTTCTCGCAACTGACAGAGGTATTTGCTATAAACCTATAATCTAATACAGACTAATCCTAACCTTAAACAATGCCAAATACAAGAAATGATCATTCCGTCCCAAAATGTTAATAGAGGCCGTTAGATTCTAAAACGAGAACAAGGTTTTCCTAACGCTACGTCGTGCGCCGCGTGAACCAGTGTGATTTTGGTGAGAAAAGGCGATAGCGGTCGTTATTGTACTACGAGTTTTTGTGAAAATGTGGTAGTGACTGTAGCAAATGTTAGAAGTTTCATCATTTTGCAATCGGGTGAGAGCTTTACCTCCTTCTACATAACCTTTCTGGTGAAAAAAGAAAATTATAAAGTCTTCTGGTGTGTCTATTTCTTGCGCCCTCGTTATCGTCCGTGTCCTCAAATCTAAAGGTCTCTAATGTTTACTTTTAAGAAAGTGGAAGCCATCCCTGCGCTTGTGTTTTCATATTCATTTCTGACTGGAAAATACAAAATCAAATTGAAACTTGTGGGCTGAAGTGTTATTGAACGCAAAGTCCAAACATACTGCTGTGAATATGCGTGGTTATATTACCTGGCACTGGCAATTATTACTAAGTCAAATCGTCAAACATTTGTTTGTTTTGTATTTGTCCTAATGTTCAGTCGCCGTGAGAGTTTTTTGCTTAGTATGTAAATTTCCCTTAGGACACTGACCTGTTGGCCGTCCTTGGTGATTTGCTGGACACAGATGATGTTGGAAGATTGACAGCTAAACAAACCCTACAACAAGCGTACTTCTGCAAGTGCCTTTGATTAACGGTTATGCCCCGTTAATTTCTGAACTGGCCTATAATTATACGGGCAGAGTACAAAGAGACTGCCTGTTTTTTTAATCTTGTCATATTTAGGAGTTGTTCCATTTGGCCGGCATTGAGGCACTGATATTATTGTGCCCTTAAGAGAAAAAATGGCCCAGTTGTGTTGCCCTGGTCTTTATGGTATTTCAATACAAATAATGTTACACGGTGCTTGCTATCTGGTTAGCAGATTCTTGAAAACAGAATTAAGCTTTGAAGCCTGTAGCCTTCTTCTCAAAACCCAGTTACTTTTTGGTGCAACACGTTTTATTTAAAAGTAGAACTCTTAAGAAAAAGAATGCTGTCTCCAGGCCACAAATCTGTTCAATTTGTTTCTTTACCTTTATTCATACTTACATTTCTGAGGCAAACATTGCAAACAGAAAATAGTTTTCTGGGCCCTAAATGCTAATAGTTCACATTATTTCGAAGGATAACTGTTAGCATAGCCTGTTGGGATTTTGGTTGCTTTTGTTTTCAATTTTTCACAGAGATTCTGTCGAACACCGCTCTAATTGAACTTTTCTCAAAAAGGGCCTGCATAATTATGAATAGTATCAAAGAAAGTTGTTTGTTAAGGCATGTATGTATCATATTCTTTAAACAAATTCGTTACGGTTTTCAAAGGATTATTTGCAACAGGAAATCAATTTTATTTAGATCACCAAAAGAGAAATGAAATTTATGTTAAAATTTATGAAGATATTTATTATACAACAACTTGGACTTAACGTTTTTGTTGAATCATGTTATTGTTACAGTTTGTAGTGATCAGTTTGCTAAATATAACTGACGAAGAGGCTAACATACTGAACCTCGTTTGTGAGTGTCCAATAGAGAATATAAATAGTTAACAGTCTCCCTAGATTTCTATCGGTAGACAATCGACGAGAGATCAAATCAAAACAGAAATCACTGACTTTATCATCCTCTGTCGTAGACCTGTGTTAGCCGTTTGTGAATAGCCGCTTCAGGTGTTGAAAAAAGGATCTAATAAATGCGTTTTTACTGATTTTGGACCCCCCCCCCCAAAAAAAAAAAAAAAACAGGAACTCCTAGAAACCGTGAACACTGTGTATACTCTCAATTTGTCCATTTAATGCTCAGGGAGAAGGTCTTAGAAACCGTAAGAAGGTTGACCTACTTACAGAGGATGGTAAGCCTATGCAGATACTTGTGGAAAACCCGGCTTTTCTCTATTTTGCTGTTGATACTTTTTACAGTGAAATTAATGCTACGCTTGCTGTGATTGGTTGTTGCCCATTTCATATTAGAGTTCAGACACAGATGGCGCCTTCTGAGGCCAAGGCTCCCAAGGCCGTGAAATGTACTGACAGTCTCAGAAATTCTTTCACTTCTCTCTCGTGTTTCTGGTTGTAGGCCGAGATTTTACCGTACAAAAAAATTGTCCTGTCTGCACTTCGTGCACGGGAAAAATTTTGCGCTCGACTTGTGAGCTACGGCCAATCTAACTGCATCTCTCAATGTCGAAGACTATTTATCCACACTGGCCAATAACGTCAAAACTAGCGTCACACTAGACCGCGACCAAACTAGCCAATGCTACAAAGTGCTAACCCTTTCACTAGATGAAATTATGTGGGCAACAAACTCGTACATCGTCCTGTCTAATGCACAACCTTGCAGCATCGTGGTGACAATTTGTAAGCACCTAACATCAACCAATGTTAACCTGTGTGGCAGGGGCAAAAGAGGGAAGCGGAGAGAAAAGCACGAAGGAAAAATAGAGAACCTCCCGCCCTTTTCCCCTTCCAACGCCTGTCACAAAGTTTCAGCAATGTTGACATTCTCACCGAATTAAATACAAAAATCTATTATATTTAATTCTTAATGTAGTTGTGGTGGAGGAGGAAAAGAATAGAAATGTGGTGCTGATGGATGGAAAACAATTGAAATGTGGTGGTGGTGATGGTAGTGGAATGAAAATAAAAATATGGCAGTGAGCGAAATACCTGAAGAGAAGGAAGGTGGGGGAAGGGGGCTGGTGCAAGTAAAACATTGCGTTTAGTGATAGGGAAAACAATAGAAATGTGGTGGTGGTGCAGGGAAAGTAAAGAAAAAATTGAGGCGGGGGGGGGGGGGGGGGGGGGGAAAAAAAAAGAATGGGGGGGGGGGAGGGGGGGGGGGGGGAGAAAAAAAAGGAGGTGTTGGGTGTGGGGGGGGGGGGGGTTGGGGGCATTTTTTTTTTTATTTTTTTATGGGGAAAAAAAAAAAGGACAGACGACGTCTGAGTTTTTTGTTTTTTTTCCCAATATTTA